CTTGTCAAAGCCCATTATCATAGGACCTGAAAATCTGGTTTTAGTATGAAACATTTGTTGATAAACTGTAGATATCGCGTTGGAACTAGAAATACTCGGCTCAGTAGTATAAAAAGATTCACAAGTGCAAATGTACCCTGGCTGTTCAAAATGTTCCCTATTACCTTTCACCACTGTTAAAATAAAGTCATGTCCACTTAAATGGGTTACTACTTTCATATGCAGACGAATAGGAACCAGAAATTCCATTTCTTGATTGCAAACTATCCACCATTCATACGAAAAAGGTCCGAAGTGTAATTCTGAATCAATAGTTCCCACAGAAACTAAGGAAACATCATAATTTTTATCTTTTGTCATATTTGTAGAGTAATAACAAGTAACGCAAAAGAGTTTATATGGTTGTATTGGGTAACGCGAGAGAGATTCTAACGTTTTTCTGTTTATTATATAAAACGATATATGTTCTTATCCCCGATCGACACTAATTAAATTAGATGATTTTCTCTAATTGTTACACGAATCACGAATTAAATGTCAAAGCGAGTCTCGCAAAGATTATAAGCCACATATTAATACATATCGTCACAAATACCACAATTACGTCAAACTTGATGGCGATGAAGAGGTAGTGCTTGAAGAAGAAAAAATCTTATACACAAAAAATAATGAAATTTACGTTTCGTTTGTGAGTGACATGTTGATTGATAAAGTTAGAGCGACAATAAGGGACAAATTACGACTTGAGCCGACTTTTATTAGTTAGAAAAGTAATCAATTCTTAGACTAATGTTTCGAACAATTATGTCACCGAATGTTTCGATGTGGTGAACTTTTAATTATCGTTCTTTAGAACCTAATGAAATATTTATATCTTACCCTGGTATTCAACAATATGAGAAACTAATATTTTCTGAAATTAATACGAACGAAATGGAAGATACTATCAACCTGATAATGACTTCTTTCTATCATTGGATTCAATAATTGCTCCTTGCGCCTCAATCATCATAGTAAAATATCTGGCCTAAAAAAAGTTTATAGCAAATTATCAAAGGAAATAGATATCAACTTATACTTTGTTGTATCGAAATACTTGCACAATTCTTTCAAAAAGCAGGTTTTTACTTCCAAAGGAAAGAAATTCAAAAGAAAGCTAAATGTATTTATTGCATTAAGCAATACGTTCTAGAAATTGATTTTGACTCTAAGGTGTTTGATAAATTTAATCTTGTAAAACTTGTGCATCCCTAAAAATTTGCTATCTGCGTCACATTACGTTCATTCTTTTACTATATCATTTCTTTAATATGTATATTAAATAATGTTAAAGAATTACCTTGTTGTCGGCTTACTATTTTATTTTTTAACATGTGTATACTTCTTTGTATATTGTATAATTTATGTCATCGAAAAAAATATGCTATATGCTAAATTACACAAGCATCGTCATCATCACCGGTTACATCATCTATCTTGGAGGTGACAGTTAGAAGAAGGATCGAATGAAGCTAAGGCAGATGATGATTATGACTCCGATTCCGATGAATCTATAGACCCCTCCTTGATCTTTTTTGCGCTGAATAATTTTGATCACCATCATGTGTCTTGTCAGCACAGTAAAATTTATCTCGTCATGCTAAAATCTGGAAAGATGTATGATGCGGATATATTCAATCTTACCAGGTAACTTAAAAGTAAGACATGGGCTTTTCGTCCATATGTTCTTTTTTTCCTTCCTCTGGTCTTATTAATTTCGGATTTTTCAATAACATCGAAATCGAAATCTTGGCTATGCGGATAGAAATTATAATATAGGAATTAGTATAAAAAAGAATAAAATGTCCCGATAAATTTTCGATCGTTGCTGACCGGATTTCCACGATACGATACTTACATTACATGATTTCTGTTTTCTTTTTTTACAAATACAATGTAATAGGGTGTAATGGCATCATACTACATTACTTTTTTGAAAATACAATGGAATGGGAGGTAATGGCATTCATTATTTCATAATATAATTCATCAAAATCTTCTTTTTAGCACTAATCTAATTTGGTTAGTTAATTTTTGTAATTTGTGATACACGATCTTCAAATCTTTTTCCGATTATTACCAATTAATTATAAGTGCTGTGTCTTACGGTAAGATCTACATACCTTGACAATATGTATAACTATTACATTCTGTTATCGTTATACAAGATAATTTGGTTGAAATAATTTTTTTTTTAAAATAAAAAAAAAACCTTTTTTTTTTTTATTATAAATTATAACAATGTCTAAAAATTATAAAGGTAAAAGTATAATAAAGAAACTAAAAAATAGTTTTACCAAACAAGAAAAAGATATGAAGCTTCGTATGAATAAATTGGACGGTTTGATGATATTCTAAAATCTTTATTTCATGAATTTACATTAGAGCAAGTTTCGGATGTTAAAAAAGCTTCCTCATTAGAAGGTAATACCTGTCGTTAATTATACTCATTTTTGTTTGCTAAAAAATTAAATTTTGTCAAATTCGAATATAGAATCAGTTTCAGATACTCCTCCGACATTAAAAGAATTAAATGGTAAACTTTATTTATTTATTATTTATTTATATAATTTTTTAATAATTAATATTTTTTTAAAAAAATAATAACTTTAATGATAATAATACTTAGATTGTAAACCATTTAATTTTTATTATATTTTAATTTATATAATTAAACTGTTATTCAAAAATATTTAATAATCAATAATAATATAGGGAGTAAGTTATTTATTTTTTATATTTAATTTAAAATCAATTTATTATTTAATAATTTTTTAATAATAATTAATAATATTTTAGTTGGTAAATATTTTATATTTATAATTTTTATTTAATATTTATTATATTATTTATAAATTAAAAAATAAAATATTAATAATTTAGATGGTAAATTATTTTTATTAATTTAACTAATCATAATTTACTTATTATTTAACATTATTTAAAATATTAATATTTTTATAATATTATAGAAAGTAAGAAATTAATTAACAATTTTTTACAATAATTTAAAGTCACTAAATTATTTATTTAAAAAAAAATTAATAATATAATAGATAGTAAGTTATTTTTTATTAATTATCAGTATTTAATTATACTTATTATTATAATTTAAAATTAATTAAATTTATTTAAAAAATAAGTTTTATTAGTTAGTAAGTAATTTTTATTGATTATCAGTATTTAATTATATTTATTACTTGTAATTTTAAGTCAACTATATTTTTTATTTGAAAAAAAATAATTAATAATTTATAATTTTAATAGATGGTAAGTGTTATTATTAATCATTGTATTTAATTATACTATTTATTATAATTAAATTTTTATTTAAAAAAATATTTAATAATTATTTATATAATAGATGGTAAATTATTATAATTGTTTATTATCATTTAATTAGACTCTTACTATAATTTAAACTTAACTAAATTATTTAATAATTAAGATTGTAAGTTATTTTATTGATTATCAGTATTTAATTATACTTTTTATTATAAATTTAATTAAAATTTTTATTTTAAATATTTAATAATTAATAATATAATAGATGGTAAATTATTATTAATTATCAATATTTAATTATATTTTTTACTATAATTTAAATTCTTAATTAAATTTTTTATTTAAAAAATATTTGATAATTTAGATTGTAAGTTTTTTTTTAACTATTAGTATTTAATTATATTTTTTATTGTAATTTAAACTCAATTAAATTTTTATATAAAAAAAATATTTAATAATTAATAATATAATAGATTGTAAGTTATTATCAATATTTAATTATAACTTTTACTATAATTTAAACTTAATTAAATTTTTATTTAAAATCAATATTAATATTAGTTGGTAAGTTATTTTATTAATTATTAGTATTTAATTTTACTTTTTAAATTAACTAAATTTAATTTAAAAAATAATTAATAATTTAGATTGTAAGTTATTATTATTAATTATTAATATTTAATTATATAATTTAAATTTAACCAAATTTTTATTTAAAATATAATTAATAATTAATAATACCAATAGATAGTAAGTTATATTATTAATTATCAATCTTTAATTATACTTTTAATATAATTTAATATCAACTAAATTTTATTTAAAAAATATTTAATAATTAGATTGTAAGTAATTTTTATTAATTATTAATATTTTATATACTTTTTACTATAATTTAAACTCAACTAATTTTTATTTAAAAAAAATTATTAAGTAGGTAAGTTATTATTTGATTATTAATATTTAATTATACTTTTTGCTATAATTTAAACTCAATTAACTTTTTATTTAAATAATTAATTTATTAGAGAGTAAGTTATTTTTATTGATTATTTTTATTTTATTATAATTTAAGTATAATTAAATTAATAATATAAAATATTTAATAAATATATTGATTAAGTAAGTATTATATTTGTAATATTTAAAGTTATAATAAAATATTAATTATTATATTAACACTTTAAAATTATTATTTAGAAAAAGTTATTTGTACAAATTGTCATAAAAAAAATACTGGATTTAAATGGTGTAAAGAATGTTATTCTAATTTATTTCAGCAAAATTTTTCTAATTGGAATAGTAAAAATGAATTTATTAATAACTTTATTCAAGAAATTCAATTAAATGCTCAAAATAATAAACAATTATTAGAATGGATTCCTTATGATAACTTTGAAAATGTTATACATCCTGATAAAAAAAAATTTGAAAACATATATAAGACTATTTGGTTAAATGGATTTATTAGATTTTATTCATTTAAAGATAAAAATTGGATTAGATCTGATAAAACTGAAGTAATTCTTAAAAGTTTTGATAAGGATTTTTTAAATGAGGTATAAATTAATAATTATATTTAATTTAAATAATATAATTTTAAATTAATTTTATTATTTTAGTGGAAAAATCAATATGATTATTATAGTCAATTAAAAAATTATTCATATGATAATTTTATTCAATTATATGGATTTACTCAAGATTCAAAGACTTTAAATTATATGATAGTAATAAAATATACAAATAATAGTAATTTAAAAAATAATTTATTAAATATAGTTAAAAGTAGTTGGATTATTAAATTACTTCAATTATATAATATTATTAATGGTCTTAATGAAATACATCAAAAAAATCTTATTCATTGTGATTTTCATCATGGTAATATTTTAAATATTAGAAATAAGATGTTATCTATTAGTGATTTAAGATTATATAAACCTATAAATTATTTTCAAATACCTAAAAAAAATGATATTTATGGTGTTTTACCATTTGTAGCTCCTGAAGTTTTAAAAGGTCAATCTTATACT